GTGAAAGTAAGGAGTAGTGGTTAGGGCTCTGGACCAATGACAATCTCATGGGTTTAAATCCCAGGGCACTGCTGTGGATTTTACACACATCATTTATTCAGTTGGACTGGGTGGAACAGATACCATAATCTGCTAGATAAAAATAAGTAAGCTCTCTAATAGTGCTAGATAAAAGCATCAGCCAAATAAATCAATAATGATGATGATGATAATCACACTCTTCCACAAAAACAATCCCATGCATTCAGTTTATGAAATTATTGCAGAAATAGAGTTCTCTTGCTCTCTCAGATGTTCTTCATGTTTCCAATTTAGCATTTTCAAAAGGAAACTCAATAATGGATTAACCTTTCTGTTTTTAGCATATAAAGTAGCAAGTACTGCATAGTTTCAATTTGAGTTCTGAGAAGATTTGATAATTAAGCCTATAACAAAAACCGTTATGAAATGGATTCTGATAAAATTCCAATGTAACAGCTATGAACAGAAAACAAATGCATCCAATAAATCAATGTCAACACTAGGCCAAAACGTCTGAAAAAACTTGCTTTTATATAGACTCAGACTGCATTTAAGGATCAAAGTAATATATTGGAAGACTTTCATATTACGTTTTAACACTGGCATGCATGATGGGGGTACTGAGATGACAATACTGCAATACTATTGCATCCAAATTGCCCAGTTTCTCTTCGAAGCTCATACCAATGCAAACAAGGCTAAAATAAGATAGATCATATGTTGATTCTATTAACTGACACATTTGCATCAAAAACTAGAAAAAAGTTATAATAAAAAATTCAAGCTACAATCATTACAATCAAGCTTAACATAAATCATTAATGAATAAAATTATAATTACAGTTATGCAGTATGTTCAATCACAAAAACATAAGTTATGTTTTTAAATTGCTTTAGAAATGACATACAAGAATTTCAAAAGATCTCTTGCAACTTTGATAAATATAATTTCAAATCTCAAAAACCTCCACAGACTATTTGCAGAAAAAGCTATTAGAGCCTTGTATTTCTTAATATGTATTCAGATGAAAATACTATTTTAGCTGACAGTGAAAGTTTTATAAAGCATCCTAAAGCTCTGATCCTAAAAGGCTAGCTTTGTCATACTCTAAAAGGAAGGCTTCCACTTGACTATAACGGCACATACTGTATACTGTAACAAGGGCATTGGGATAATACATGCACAAAGCTGTTCCCCTGCAACACACTGCAGCAAGGAAATGAAAAGTTTAAATTAGTCATCTAAGATCTAATGGCATTTTATCATCAAAAGTCCCAAAAGGCAAGGAGAATCACATCACAGCTAAAAATGCACATATTCCAAACTCAAAGTGGGAAATCAGCAAAAAACTAGACAAGAGGTTTAGAGACAAAAAATGTCAGAAAATATATTAAGGCTACCATTTTTTAACAGATTTTACATTTAAACAGAATTTCCATGTCATAATGGAAACACAGGCTATGTTTAATAGTCAAGTCTGATAAAACATTGGAAATTCACCATTACTTAAGTATTTCTGGCACTGTACCATTGGGAAACATTACGCCTGTAGCAGCGAGGCTTATCAAAATACAGGAATTAAGTTTTCTGCACCCTTGCCAGTCCCTCTCTCTTTCATCTCAGTCCTGCTTGATACTGAGAGAGGCCATTCCATTTGGATAACAATTAAGGTTTTTCTAGCTGATAGAGTGTCCTGATAAGGAGCAACTCCCAATTCCTGATATTCTCCAGCAACCTTAATAAATGTTCATCTCTGGCACCTTAAAGTCTGAGATTCCAAGGGAGAGTCTGACTCAAAGTTGGTTTACGACCCTAAGGTCAAAGGGCATGGTTACTCATCATCAGCCAATCAAGAACTGGTAGGGCAGGTTAACCCCACGTGGGTCTCTGATGCTCATGAAACTTTCAGCCAATGAGAGACCCGCAGTTCCTCTAGGTAAAAACAGGCAACACAGAACGCCTGTGGAACGGTTCGCAGGGCAGAACAGTCGGGAAGGGCAGGACAGTTCCGAAAGGAACACAGTTCCCAAGAGCAGGACATTCTCGCAGCGCGCCTCCTGGACATTCAGCCTCAGGGCTCCACCTGAGCATCCTCAGACTCAGCCCGGACCACCACATAACGGCCAGTGTGTCTGAGTAGCAGGACTTCCCTTTGTTCTAAGAGTGGAGGACGGAGGTTGCCAGCGCATAACCAAAGGATACACCTGAGGTTAGCATCAGCAGCAAGCCTCATGAACAGGTCGGAACTGTGGACAGCTGAATCAGTATTCAGGACTAGCGCTTCATCAGGAACTAACCAGTCTTCTTCCGACCTGCTTGGACCCGCAGTCACTTTTCTTCTGTGCCCAAACTTTGCTAGTTTCAGCCAAAACTAACTAGCCTGTCTTCAGAGAGCATCAGCAGAACGCCATCACATGCCGCAACAACACTGCCTGGCACCGAGCCAGAGAGCGCCGATTGGACAACAAGCCTGCCTTTGCTTTTTTGTGTCTGCAGGAGATCTGAATCCCCACAAATGGATGAGTATTCAACTTCAGTGCATTACCGCTCGAGAATTCAATTATCTCAACCAGTTGATATCAATTTAATTCCTATGAGTGATGTACTTGTTTTGAGTATCTAGTGTAGAAGTTGTAACCAAGTTCATTTACGAAACGGTCTAAATGAATGATATACTGAATGTATGTTCTCTTGGTATGTGCAACTCTTCGTGACTGAATATATACCTTTTGTATTCTGCTAACCCTCAAGATAAGGTCTGTTATGTTTATATGCACATTTTATGTATTAATATATGTATTCTCGTGTATTAGTACCTGTGTGTGTGCGTTGTTTGAGTTATCCCGCAAGGTTGGATTCTAATACCATCAGCAGAATCATTTTGTGCTACAATTAAGAATTGTCCCAGTAAATACACAACCCCTATATTACTGGTGCCTCATGAGAGGATACTACACTCCCGTGTAACCAAGCTAACAAAATATTTTCACAAACATATTTAGTGCAGGGAAAAATATAATGAAAAGATTTTCTTTTTCTATACAGTACATACATACCAACAAATACATTTTTTACTTACTAACCAATGTAACATTCTTAAAAATAAACAGCTCTTAAAAACAGCCTGTATCAATGTTTTGCATGAGGGGTAAGGCTGAGGCTTGGCAAAATATATTCATACACAAATGCAGAATAACAACTTAGAAAAGTTAGTTATTATTTTATCTAAAATAAATTCAATACTGCTGCTAAAAAGGAAAGAGCAACGTAAAACGACTGATAATTTTGGGGAATGGGGATTGTGCACAAAAAATGTTGCGTTCAAAAGGCACACAGCATAATACATTCAAATACTGAATATTAATACATTATGTAACCACAATTAAAGAGTTGCAGTACAGCCTTTCTAACTAGATCTCAAAAAATTAAACAGCAAAATTCAGCACACAGTGGGAACTAGAATATTCCGTCAGAAGAAGTTTTACTTTTAGCTTAGCATAAGAATGAAATTTGTTATTAGAAAACCCCACAAAAATAATCCTGATATCCCAGCACTATTAAACTATACAGTATGTTTCCAGCAAAAAATAATGTAAGAAGCATATTAACCAAAACAAAAAACAAATGGTTTGACATATTAGCTTAATAACAGATCAGCTATATATAAATGTGATGACAATTTCTGTATTTTTAGCTGTCAATCTTTTTAACCCAAGGTATACAATCCTGGTCCTAGTGGTTCAGTGCCTGCAGTTTGTTTTTCTTCAGAACACCAGGTTAAGAAATTGTTAAAATGAGTCCCTTTAAGCCAGAAATGAGTTGATTTAGGTTGGCAGACAGAGCTGGAATGAAAACTTGCAAAAACACTAGCTAGAAATATTAATCTCTCTTAATTTAGATAAGCAGGACATTTTAAAATATATATTTTTTTTTTTGGAAAACAAAGGGATGAGACACTAACATAGGTTCAATGCCGAAGGACAAAGGTTCTGATGAATGATCAGCCATTAAGCAAACTGAAACCCAACAAGGACTGTGCTTCATTATTAACTATAACTAGCATCACAATATAGCATAAGTAAGTTTAACATTCTGCTGCTTCAGAAGGCTTCAACATATTAATCAGTTTCAGTATATCAAAATTGTTTCTAAGACAAAAACAAATGATAATTAAGTGTAGGAGGAGGCAATACAAAGTTACACTGCTTCCTGCTGACACCACTGTAAATCACGTATCCATACAGAACAATTATTTCTATGCCTGTCTGTTTGATTCTTATTTTATAGTGTCTTAGCTATATGCAAACCACTTTATGTAAAACTATCATAGGTGCCTTCAAGTCCAAGTTTACTAGAAACTGCTACAATGCACATCTCTTGTGAAGCCACCTATCAGTATGAAAAAAGCTCTGAAATTATTATATAAAACATACCATTAAAATGGTCAAATCATTTGAAAAAATCAAATATTAAGACTGGCTATAAACAAGGTAGATTACACAATCAAATGTATAATCAAGAATGTCTAAAGAGGGTCCACAGGGTTCTTTGTTACCACCATTCTTGAAAAATGTATACTTGACTGTATACTTCCATTATAACATCACAGGCATTTGACTATGTGTCAATGTAAAACTAAAAAAAATGATAAAACTGTGAAAAATTGAATATGCTTGATTGTCTCAAAATTCTCTGATAAAAATAGTTGAGTCTAGAGGTTAAAAATCAGAATTTTTTTATCAGTTAACATCAGCACATTAGGATAAGAATGTGAAACATACTAGTTATCTCTTTGACGGAGATGACAAATAATTCAATCAAGGTTTGATTGTTTCAATCCTCTTTTTCCTGTATCTTCAACTGTCATTTTAACTTTAAGCTTAACAGCAGAAATGGTATGTATGATTTTTTCAAAAAAAACAATATTGAAACATGTCACATTTGAGCCAAAATGTACAAAATCCTTGCAAACACTTACAGTTTTGTTGGCTGTGCTCATGTACTGAATCACCATGTCTTTTTTAGTGTTGAGGTCCTTTTCTCTGAGGGGTGCTTTTTTGTCCTCATTCAAGTTCATGTCCTCCTAACAAAAGAAAAAACATAAAAAAGTGTCAGAAATATACATTTTTAACCTGCATCCAATGTTTTATTTATTATAACATAAATTGTATATATTCTGCCATACAACAGTATAGTTCAGTATTTATTATACCATACAGAATAAAATATTTGTATATATAATTGGTATCACTTTATATAATTGGTACTCATCTCAATGCACTTTTCTTTAAAGTATAAACTGCATATTTATGCATCAGAAAGTCAGTGTACATATGTATGTAATCAAATAAGATGCATATCTAACATTTCATGCCAGGATATTAAATTTATATAATTTACTGAAGAGGGAAAAAATAACTTACAAAACAGAATCTTACTAAAACTTCTGTTCAAGCAAAAATGATTACTGATATAAAATTTACATATACCTTCAATGGACAAAAATGGTATTTGGAAATGAAAGCAAACAAAAATCATGTATAATTTTGGATTTATATGATCAAATATAGTTTTGAATTAAAGTAATATATCAGGTACAAGAGTGGAAATGTAACATTTTCCAGATCCAAACATTAAAATACATATAGATTTCCACAAATCTCAGACACATGGTCAATGAAACCTATATAGTGATAAAAATACTAGACTTAATCAGTTCATGAAAATGTTCAAAAATCACAAAGTCAACACCGAACGGATATTAGAATATGGATATCAGAATCAGTAGTACAAAACTAGAGAACTACAGGTGGAAACTACCGGAAAATGTGGTGAACAAGAGGCACTTCTTTCACCAAGATGTTGCTGAAGTCTAGAACAAGCTACCTGCCATGTTGTTGAAGCTGATCCCTAGGAATCCTTCAGGAAATGGTTGGATTCATGTTTTAGAAACAAAACAGGGCGATGCAGCTACAGATGCAGCCATTCAAAGTGTGCAGTACAGACACGTACCGCAGGTAAGATGACACGGGGTACCGCGGTGCGTGATTGGTTGACCGACAGGGGCACTCGTGATCC